GCAGCTGTGCTGAGGCTGAACTGTGCTGCTAGGACTGATGGAAGGAGACCGCAGGGGCTCAGATGCCCAACGGATGTTTTTTGAGTGCTGGCATTTGGCTCTGAGCAGCTGCCCTTGCTTTAGTATTTGGATTCACAGTCAGTCACCGAACCGCAGTGCAGAGGATTAGGAGAGACCCAGAGCAGAGGACAGAGTGGTGCTGCTGTGCTCCCTTGTGTGCATTGTCCTTTGTAGGAATTTCTTGTTGTGCTGAGTCAAGGCTCACCAGGTGGTATACTGGGGCCGGACATGCTCCTGGCTGGAGTTTCAGAGCAGGGCTAGGTTCTCCTTTGTGGGAGCAGCTGTCACCTGGGGACCAGCACTGAAAGTGAGACAGTATTTCTTGTGTCTTGCCAGTTTGTGCCCAATTCGATGAGTCTGATAGCCTGCATGTTTTCTTGGAGCCCATATGGCTCTCATGGGCCCTGGGAAACTGTGTGGTCTCATGCAAGAGGACTGGGTTTCCCTTGTTATCTGGAGGACCTAAGAGAATAAAAGATGTGTGTGTCTCTGGTTTGACGTGTGGGGAGATGCCCAGTCTGGGCGAGGTGGCCAGTGATTCCTGCTCTCTGGCATCCCTTGCTCTTCCCTCTGGAGACAGGACCTGAGCCTGAGGGGAGCTTTCTGTGCCAAGCTCTGTCTCTGGAGCTGAAGAGCTTTGCAGTGAATGGGCTGGGCCAGAGGCTGTGGGGCTGGGCCCCTGCCACTCTGGGGTGCCCACCCTGTGGCCCAGTCGGCTCTAATCACTGTGTAGGGCACTGTCATGTCCTTGAGATCACAAGCTTGGTGAGGCAGCTGTTCCTCAAGTGCCCTATAGAGGACTCCAGAGTGTGAAGATAGCAGAACACAGCTGGCCTCAACATTTGGGCTCTTGCAGTTCTGTGTGGTGCCGTGAGATGGTCCTCCCAGGGCTGGCTGAGCATGGTCAGTGCTGGGGGCATGGACTGGGCTCTCTCTCTTCCCATTGTGTTCTCTGCTGTGTGTTGGTGGAGCCAGGAATGGCGAGGAGGGCCCCAGACGTTCCTGAACCATGCCTGGGAGCTGGACAAAAGCTGCTGTGGCCTTTCTTTTTCTCTCTGGAGTCCTATAGGCCAGCTAACCCCTGTTTGGCCTTTGCGTGCCAGGAAAGAGTAGGTTTTGGCCTGCTCTTCAGGGCAGGGCTTTTGCCACATGTTGCTTTTGGCTGTCCTTCCCCAGCACAGTGCAGAGCTGTGTCTGGCCAGAGAAGGACTGGGAGGATGTGACCTCTCCCAGACTGCACGTGTACCTGCTGAGCCATAGGCTCATGGGCTCCCCTTTCTCCTCAGGTGGTACCATGGCTCAGCAGGTCCCAGTCCAGGCGATCCAGGTGCACCAGGCACCGCAGCAAACGTCTCCTTCTAGTGACAGCAGCACTGACCTTACCCAGACCTCTTCCAGCGGAACAGGTAATTGGGACCCTACAGTAACCATGTTCTGTCTTCCTTCCTAACCACTGCTGATAACAACCCACACCAGCAGACCTCACACCTGCTCCCTGCCCAGGATCCTTCTTCAGATCAACTCTATCCTAGCCTTTCTGACGATTTCCCAGGTGTATTCTGTTGCCAGCCCCTGTGCTATGCTATATCTAGGTAGATGCTGCAGTGCGTAGGGCACTTTGCAAGGGATTTCAGAACGTCTTCAGTTACATCATCTGCTCTTACTTGCAGCGTGGAGCTGGGAACAGGTTGCCCAGTTCTCAGATGGTTTCTTAGTGAGCCATCGTTGCCCCTAGCACAAGGCATTGGCTCACATCTACTTGACATTTTTACTGTATGTGCAGAGGATGTGTCTGTTGTCAGCAAAATCTGAATTCAGGTGCCTGGATGCAGGCTGAATGCAGTTCAACAGTTTTATTAAAGCTTCATCAGGAAACTTGTATCTCAAGTTGAATTCAGTCCTGGGATATTTGGCTACCGTGCTTTTCTGCCCTCTCATACTTGCTCATGAAAGGTTTGAGCTCTCCTGCCTGTTCCCCTGGGGCTTTTTCCCAAGAGCTTGGGAGAACAAGATGGGTATCTCCATGCACCTGCCGCTTCAGGACAGCATGCCAAGGGTGGCTGAGGGAGGGGTGCTGTGTGTGTGTGTGTGTAGCAGACTCCTTTCGTGTGGCTCACATGTAGTCTGTCCTGGTGCCAGTGACCCTCCCGGCGACCATCATGACGTCATCTGTGCCAACCACTGTGGGTGGCCACATGATGTACCCCAGCCCACATGCAGTGATGTATGCACCCACATCTGGCCTTGCGGATGGTGGACTTGCAGTCCTGAATGCTTTCTCACAGGCGCCCTCAGCGATGCAGGTGTCCCATGGCCAGGTCCAGGATCAGGGTAAGACAGCTGTCTGGGTCAGTGCTCCCTTAAGTGCTCCGATACTCTGTTTTTCTTCGTCTTGCATGTATCTATGCTCTACATTAATTTCAAGTAATTTTCTTCTAAGCAGTCCTAGTGGCTGTACAAAGGCCTGGCAAGGGTGATGCTTGATGTGTGCTTTTAGATCCCACCATTCGGCTGTGCAAAGGATTGCTTGAGTCATTTGCTGGGGAAAAAGGATGAAGGTTGCTGGGGGATGGGTGGCATATGGGGCAGGCTAGACTCTGGAGAGGATGTGTGGCTGCATGAGGGTGCAAAGCAGCATGAAGCCATGCAGGCAAGACTTGGATTGAGGGCTTGTGCCTGGCTGGGCCAGCATTTGGAAAACTAGTCCATATGGCTTTCTCCTGGGATACATCCATGCATGCAAACAGGCACCTTCATCCTTGTGAAGCTCCATAGAGCTCAGAGAAAGGACCTAGAGGGGAGCGCTGTTTAAGGGATGGTGTCATTTGTGTGTTCTCTCTGTGACAGGTGGTGTCCCCCAAGTGTTCCTGACAGCCCCATCAGGCACTGTTCAGATCCCAGTCTCAGCTGTCCAGCTTCACCAGGTAGGTGTAGAGTGGTACTCGCAGGTGTTCACAGGGCGTCCTTGCTCTGCCCCTGCCTGCACATCCTTTGTGGATCTGGGCAGATCTGGGCCCTTGGGTGGGGCCAGACCTCAGGTTTGGGAAAGCTGTCAGTGCCACCCACCCTTGGGTGAAGAAGTCTTGCCCTCCTTGGACAGGTGCCCAGAAAGGACAGTGCCACCCTGGCTGCTGGCACATGGGGTCTCAGGGCATGCTGTACCCCAGTGCTTCCTCCTACCTTTTCTCTCTAGATGGCTGTCATCGGGCAGCAGAGCAGCAGTGGCAGCAGCCTGACGGAGCTGCAGGTGGTCAACTTGGACACCTCACACAGCGCCAAGAGTGACTGAGAGGCCTCTGCCGCCGGCCTTGTACTGTCCCTGGCTTGTCATGCCAGTGCTAGAGCTGGCGGCAGTTCCTTCTCGTACAGACTGCACCAGTTATTTATTGTTGCCTTTTCACGTTTCCTTCATCCACACATGCACACACGCACACACTCACCCACACACACACATACAGGCATGCGCGTGGGGCTGCAGGACCCGCCTGGGGTAGGGCTGTTCTGGGGCTGTGCAAGGCTTGGGGGCGTTTGGATGCTGCAATAGCTGTGCTTGTCTCACGCCAGCCAAAGAAACTTGTCTCTTGAGAGGAGGATAGCTCTGCATTGTAAAATACTGCAGGCTGTTCCCGGCCGGAGGCTCTGTCTCCTTCTGGGCTCTCTGAGGCTCTGGCTTCTTTCTGGGTGCTCTGAGTTGCCTTGCACATGGGCATTTGCTCTGTGGGGCACTCAGCTCAGACCCATAGCCATCCTGCGGGCGCAGCTCAGAGCAGAGCAGGCCGAGGCTGTGCTGCTAGCCTCAGCAATGTGCCTTTGTGAGCGTGACATGTCCTGGCCGCAGCAACTCGCCCTGGGCTCCGGGCAGGGCAGCCAGCTTGCACGTGCATCTCTGGTTGGGCCTGTGCACCCTCCCTCTGGAGGGCAGCGGCACAGCCTGCGGCATGCAGCCCTGTCCTCATATGCACTACAGTGAGCACTCTGCCCTCAGTGCCTCCTTGCTGGGTTGCCTGGTAGATGTGCAGCCTGCCTGGCTCTGACCCGGCAGCTGCCCTCACACAGCTGAGATGGTCGGTGGATGCCTAGGAGCACGATGCCCTGGAGAGCTCCTGGGGGGGAACTGTGGCCGGCCCAGCCCCACACTCCTCTCAGCCCTCGCACTGCTTGCGGACTCCATACACCCAGGGGAACGTGGCTGGGTTTTTCCCACATGCCCCTGCAGCTCCAGACAGCGCTTTCTAAATTCCTGTGTCTGATGCAAGGTGGAAAAACAACTCAAGTGTCAAAGGAAAAGAGCCCATGGGGCACTGAGCTGCTGGGCAGGTGGCAGGCTCTTCCTCTGAGTACCAGGCCATACTGGGCTGTGGAGGAGCAGCTGTGATGCCTGTGCAGGCTCAGCAAGGCCAGGGGAGAAGGGCTGGAGCATGCTTGGTCCTGCATGGGAGTTGCTGTGAATGGCTCTGCTACCTAGCCCTGTCCCTGGAGGGAGAGTGAGCAAGTGAGAAGCTGCTGAATCCTTAGGGGAAGAAGCAGCTACCGTTACCTATTTTTTTTTTTTTTAAGTTAAAAGAAGCCTTGGAGAAAAAAGCAAAAAAAAAAAAAAGAAAAAAAAAAAGAAAATGACTTTATTTTTCTAAGTGTTAAACTCAGTATTTATGTAATTCTTTAAGGAATAAAAGTTTGGCTCCTGTACAGTTTTCATGGGGTTTGTACCAGGGGGATGGGAGAGGGGTGGGTGGGCACAGAGGCAGGAAAGGGGCCTTGCTTTGGAGTTTGTATTGTAATCTTGGACATGTTCCCCCAGCATTAGCGTTTAAGCTGCACTCTCCAGCCACCAGCATGTGCCAGGGATCTTGCTGAACCAAGTGGGATGCTTATTTCCTGTTTGCCTGTACTGAGAACTCCATCATTCTGGGCTTAACAGGCAGAAGGCAAGTGAAGCAGTGGCTGGTCTCTAGAAGTGGGAATCCCATCCCTTAGGAGCAGGGGGCTTGAAGTTTGTCCAGGAACCAGAGATGGGCTGGGTTTTCTGATGGTCACCCTATTTGTCTCTGGTCCTGGGGCTTGCTGCTGTTCTGTCACTGCTCCTGGTGTGGAGCAGTGCTACCTGTGACTGCCTAAGAGGTATATGGGCATCCCTACTCTTCCCTGGGTGGCAAGTGACCAGCAGCAGCTGATTCCTGCTTGCTTGTGCAGGTAGCATCTCCTGAACTCCTAGCTGATGATCTGGGCTGTAGTTGGGGATCCCCTTCTACAGCTGTTCCTTAGTTTGCAGATGTGGACAGGTTCCCTCCAAGCCCCTGTACAGAGAGCTCCCAGAAGGGTCTTTCAGTCCTTCGGTCTGTTACACAGCCTAGGAAGGGCTCCTGGGGAGTGGAGTGGCCCATCTAGTGAGAGTGATGTTGCATGCTGCCTCCCCTTAGTATCCTCGCCCTAAGAGTGGTGCGTACCCCATAGCTCAGAGCACACAGGAGTGCTATGCCCCAGTGCTAGGTGTATGAAAACTGCCCAGTGATGCTTCCAAAACAAGGCTGGGTATCTAGGAGTTCGTCCAGGGAGAAGGATGTGGTTGGGGTTTGTGTTGTCCTTTGCCCCAGCACATCACTGTAGCCTGGCTTTGCTCCGCTTTGCTTCTGCTAGCACTGCAGAGCAGAGCTGCTGGGCAGGGTGGCAGGAGTGCCCCTGCTGCTACAGGGTGTCTGCGTCCCCTCCCTGGCTCCCCAAAGGCAACTGCTGGTTAAACGCTAATGGTGTATTTTATTTAAGTGCAGACTTGTAAGAACACTTGTGTATCAGGGATGAAATGGCATTTATTGTGTGGTGATATTTTTAGTTCATTTTACTGGTTTGAGGGTTGTGTGTGTGTGAGCGCGCGCGTGCATATGTGTGTATGTACGCATAAGTGTGTGTGGGATTTTTTTTTTTTTTTTTTCCCCTCCAGTTTCCAGGTTGTGTTTCTGGAAGGATGTGGAAGTAATCACAGTACTATGTACAGAGCTTTCTTTTGTATTAAAAAAAAATTACTCTTTCAATAAATGTTATCATTTTGTGCACAGATTTGGGATCTTGGCTCTGCTTTGCAGGAGGGGACAACACACATCTTAAGGGCAATGAGTGGAGATCAGAGGCAGATTCCTGCACCTGTTTGTGTACTGCAGAGGGTGGGGAGACTGTCTGGGCATGGCGTGGCAGAGAGGGAGTCTTTGCAAAAGTCTCCGTCCCCACTGCTTCCTGCACAGCAGAGACCTCACCGGCTGGATGTCTACTCTGGGAGTCCCAGAGCCAGTGGGTGGGCCAGAGGGGACCTCTGGTGGACAGCAGGGTCCTGGGGGCTGCCCTTTTTGAAAGCTTGGGAATGGCACTGGTGAGCAGGGCATGGTGTTGAGTCAATAGAAATAAAAACCAGGAATGAGGAGGAATGGGCACTTTTGAAAAAGAATTGTTCTAATTCATGGATGTCAACAGGGAGCAACAGGAGGGTCTCAAGCAGGGAGGATGAACAGCCCATGTTGCTTATGGGGTAGTTAGGCAATAACCAAGGCCTAGGAAGAGGAATTTTTGCCATTGTAACATCAAAGAAAAGATGATCCCTAGGCCTGGCCCCAGGTGGATTATATATGTATATATTGATCAACTACCACAAACTAAAGGAGGATAGAGTATATTTTTAGTAGTAGCAAGTATTTCCAGGATAGATAAAAGTTTTGTATGAAGATGCTGCTGTTAAGGTAGTGTTTACCTGATATGGGACTCAACAGATAAGTGATGCTGGCCAACACCCTGTCATCACAGTAGATATCATGCAGCTGGCATCTCAGAACATCCAGACATGGTGGCTGGTGTGTGCAGTGCTATCCCCAGGCCTCTGGACAAGAAGAAAGAACAAACTAGGCTTTAAAATAAACCAGTTGAAAGGCTGCAGGTATGCAGCCTCTGACATTGACAGGCATCTGATCCAAGTCTCTAATGAAAATGACGTTGTTTCCCTTCTTCCAAGTCCATTACTTTTGGACAACTGATGCCTGTAAGAATGGAGTGTAACTTGTCTTTATGAGGTCCAGCACCGAGACTGTTGAATTACCTGCAGAAAACTGCTATGAGAAGATAACGGCAATATTCAAAGTCGAAACTGGAGAGGCATTACTTAAAGTCAGGTCAAAGGTGGATGCTTGTAGGCTCCTAGAAGGCAGGTCAAGGGCACATGGGGGCTCAGTAAAGCACCTAAAGGTGGGAAAGAAACCAAAAGGAGAAGGGCTAGTCACAATTGCCAGTGCTGCTGGGCCAACAGTATGCCAGCTAAAAACTAGCCTCTACACCATGTCCTGGAGCAGATACCACTATAACGTAAGGAAAGCTTAGCACTAATGAAAGTCTGTGCAGTGGAGGGACTGCACTATTCCTCACAGTGCAATTCAGAGAAAATACATCTCAGTGTAGCAGGAGAGAAGATCATACAGAAAGTGCTTAGAAGCAAAACAGAGCTGAAATGGCTCTTTCCCGACTGGGAGAAGAGGTGCCTCGCTTTTACAGGTTACATCGCAGCCTACACAGATATGTCTTGTGGTTCAGCACCACAAAACCCACATCAGCACAAGTAACCTCATGCTACTTGTGCACAGGGGTCTGTGTATGACCTATAAAACTCCTAATGTGGAGCAAGGTACCACAAACATAATCTTTATTTTTAGGGTAAGTGACTGACTAAGCATGGTATCAAGACCACTGGAGCCAAGATATAAGTAGGACTTATGAATACCTCAAAAAACCTTTCAGCGTCACAGACAAGATGCCTATGTCCTATCTGGCCACTGCCATTTATTGTTGGTGACAATTTTGGCTATGGGATGTTGCAAGCTGATGTTACCAGCCAAGCTGCATTTCCCACTGCAGAGCATTATCACCACCTTGTGATTGTGATACTAAACACAGCAGTGTTGCAGGTGCAACAGTGCAAAATAACAGCTGCCCAGAACAGAGGAAAATAGCAGTGATTGTGCATGTGGTATCAGCTTTTATATAATTGTGTGGCGTTTAGGAAGTTATTTTCCTCTTCATTAGTGCAAATATACTTTGTTTATGTCTACAAGAGACGAAGGGACTTGTACAGGCAAAGTATGATATAACTAAATACCAGTTTGATCCTCAAATTTTAAATGCCTCGGGAGTTAACAAGGAAGGAAAATGACATTAATGGAAAACGCAGAGATTTCAAGAGCATCCATGCGATTCTGGAAATAGAGCATCAATAGCATCAACAGAGGTTACACGTACCAATGGAGAAATCAAGAGGCTGCCTCGAAAACGCAAACATTTACAGTACACCATTGGTGCAACACAAATTGATGCAGCACCGCACAGATTTATTCAGCGTCTAGTTAATTGCAATCATATAGTTTGTATTAATTGCTGATTGCTATTGTAAAACATGGAAATTGTCTAATCAGCTGCATTAGTACCGAGGGTAGAAATAAGGTTGGGCACGTACATGAAGTTGCTCCAAGATCAAATAAGAAAGCAGACTCGTGTCCTTTTGGCCTCTGATTTTAATGTTTGTTTATAACTGAAAACAAATATTAACAAACTGATAAAAACCTCCATCTACTGGATTGTAGCTAATGACTGTGAGGCCTGTGAAGGAAGGGAAATATGGACAAAGGGTAAG